CTTTGCCACCTGAATATATACATTTTTGATATATTAAACTTAGACTATTTGATTTAATAGAATTTATTTAAATTTAAATTATCAAAGGTTAACTTTTTCGGTTTCCAAAGATATAGGGATAAAGAAATTAGAGTTTTTTAGGCAATGCTTTGCTATTTGAGTGCACCAGGCAGAAAGCTTTATAAGAATTTCAGGTGTTATTTATTAAATTATACTTTGTTATGAACATTAGCGAGATAAAGAACAAAGTTATGTCCGACATAACTATTATAACACTGTTATTTTGGTTCGCAGTGTTATAAAGTTCTGGATAGAAATTTTCTCTTTATCGAGAAAGTTCAAAACTTTGAAACAAAGGAGAAGTCAAAATATCAAGTTGATTTCCATTTTCTTTTATTTCAATTGAAAAAATATTTTGGAACTATCCTAAATATTTTGGAATAAATCCGGGAACCAATCAAACCTTTATAGCACACGTGCTACAATATACAGCTAATTTAACATTACAGCAAGATGATTACAAAATAGCACGTTTATTATGAAATTCACGATGAAGTGAGAAATGATAAGGTACACAATAGTTGCATAAAAATCTTTATAAGAAATCGTCCCAAAATAATACAACTTAATTAACATTATAGCATCGCGATGATTACTTTATAGCACGTGTATACTGACAATTACCACAAAGTGACCATGAGTTATAAAATACACAATAGTTTTATAAAAAAAAACATGATTATCTGAGGGTTTACCTGTGTAAATAGTTTTTGACATTCCTCATTGGTAAAAATCACCAATCCAGAACGTTCTAGAAGAACGTTGGACAGTGCTCGAATCTGTTTTGTACTTCCCCATCTAAGAGAAATCAAATCATGTGACGGTTTACCAATAAAGGAGAAAACGACTTCACGGAAGTCATTCCCCCCCCCCCCCATAATACCCATGGATTTCCTTCAAACAATGTTAGGCAATTTGATCGAGCTGTTTGGCCAGCTATAGCTAACATATATATCTATATATATAAGCGCAAAGAGATTTTATCTTTAATTTATGGTTTCCATAGCCTTAAACTTTTTGCTTACTTTGCCAAATTCTTTAGTAGACCTCTGAAGACTATTTGAATATTAAATGATCAAATAAGGACTTCAGATGGACGGAACGGATTACAAAAGCTTTATGTCGCATTAAAGTGTCATCCTTACTAAGCTGGGTAACACTTTGTTATACTGTGACTCGGCATTTTATAAAGTTCCAAACCGTACTCATGTTCCAAACCATTCTTATGTTCCAAACCGTAATTATGTTCCAAACCGTGCTTATGTTCCAAACTGTGCTTATGTTCCAAACTGTGCGTATGTTCCAAACCGTGAATATGTTCCAAACCGTGCTTATGTTCCAAACCGTGCTTATGTTCCAAACTGTGCTTATGTTCCAAACCGTGCTTATGTTCCAAACCGTGCTTATGTTCCAAACCGTTCTTATGTTCCAAACAATGCGTATGTTCCAAACCGTGCTTATGTTCCAAACCGTGCTTATGTTCCAAACCGTGCTTATGTTCCAAACTGTGCTTATGTTCCAAACCGTGCTTATGTTTCAAACCGTGCTTATGTTCCAAACTGTGCTTATGTTCCAAACTGTGCTTATGTTCCAAACTGTGCTTATGTTCCAAACCGTGAATATGTTCCAAACCGTGCTTATGTTCCAAACCGTGCTTATGTTCCAAACTCTGCTTATGTTCCAAACCGTGCTTTTGTTCCAAACCGTGCTCATGTTCCAAACCGTGCTTATGTTCCAAACCGTTCTTATGTTCCAAACTGTGCTTATGTTCCAAACCGTACTTATGTTCCAAACCGTGCTTATGTTCCAAACCATGCTTATGTTCCAAACCGTTCTTATGTTCCAAACAATGCGTATGTTCCAAACCGTGCTTATGTTCCAAACCGTGCTTATGTTTCAAACCGTGCTTATGTTCCAAACCGTGCTTATGTTCCAAACTGTGCTTATGTTCCAAACCGTCCTTATGTTCCAAACCGTGCTTATGTTCCAAACTGTGCTTATGTTCCAAACTGTGCTTAATTTCCAAACCTTGCTTATGTTCCAAACTGTGCTTATGTTCCAAACCATGCTTATGTTCCAAATAACAAAATCAAAATCGAAGGTCTACGAAATTATGTTGCAAAGAAATGAGGGTTTCTATTTTTAGTTCTTTCAAATCCAATATTTGTCAAAACAGCTATTTTTTATTAAATTTTTTTAAAAACATTTTTTATCTTTTGTACACACATTCAAATCAACATAATTTCAAGTACCGAATTTTTAACCAGCCAGAGAAAGCTGTCCAGTACAATTGCAAGCAAGAGGAACCGGGACCGTCCGCCAAATGAGTGAAATTTATATGCTGTATTAATATTATTTCGGGACAACAAAATTTACTGAAATTTTTCTTTTGTATCAAACCCCATTTAAATTACCGAATACAATCCAATTTCCAGAATTGAATATGCAAAACAGTGCATAAACTCTTCAACAGAAGTAAAATAGTTTTTATAAGTTTTCAAGAAAACTGTTAACGGATTTTTGAATAAATGGGATATATACAACTATTTCTTTTTACACTATGGAGGTTTGACCCGTTCTATAAAAACATATAACTAGATTTTGAAAGAAACTGATTAGTGATTACTCGCCACAAACTTTATCTTTCTAATTCCTTGATCTGTGCAACCTGATAAGTAATCTGTTTCTTTCTTAATAATGTTTTTATATTTACCCTATAATAGTCCCAGAGGTTTGTGTGAAATCAAGATTTGCTTGAGGTAGGCAGATAGTTCTGTAGATTCTAAATTATATAATACTAGATGGAGGCAGATAGTTCTGTAGATTCTAAATTATATAATACTAGATGGAGGCAGATAGTTCTGTAGATGCTAAATTATATAATACTAGATGGAGGCAGATAGTTCTGTAGATTCTAAATTATATAATACTAACTGGAGTGTCCGGCATCGCCCGTGGAATTATTAAAAATCGAATTTAATAAAAAAAACCGATTTTTGAGAAAAAAAAATATTTCGAATATGTTTAGCCGGGGTACTGAAAGGGTTCCCTCAAAAAAATGTCAGTTCATTCGATCCAACTCACGTCAAACTAATGTAAAATATTCTATTTTTTTAATTAAAACTTATCTAAAAGCTATTGAGAAGAACAAAATTTGAAATATTTAAATTTAACCGAATAAATTTGCTGTTCTCATACTATCTATATAAGAGGAGCTACGAGGTCACAATGTCGCCCCAGTAAGGTCGAATAAAGGAATTGAGTCTTTGTCACAAACTCAAATTTTCTAATCCCTATATATATGGAACTTGATGTTGTAGACTTTTAATATTTCAAACTAAGATAATTTGATGCAAAAGAATTCATAGTTTGAAATATCTAAGGTCTAGGACATGGGTTGCACAGATATAGGAATTAGAAAATCAGAGCTTGTGTCAAAGACTCAATTCCTTTATACATTCAAACAAATTTATATGAGCTAAGAGCTTTATCGTGAAGAAGAAGAAGATTAATATTTTACAATCTTTAAACAATCCAGGGTTTGCCTAAGGTTGGAAATGGGTTTTGTAGATTCTAAAGTATTTATCAACAATTCAAAGTTTGCTCGAGGGAGGCAATGGGTTTTGTAGATTTTAAAAATATATGATTTTATAATAAATAATCTTTAAACATTTCAAGATTTGGTTTTCTTAAGGTATGCTAAATATATAATTTAATAATGAATATCTTTAATTATATATTTAATAATTTTTAATCTTTAAACAATGCAAGGTTTGTTTAAGATAGGAAAAGGGTTTTAAAATTCTAAAAATAAATATAAAACTAGTTTGGGAACCCTGCGTTGCCTAAGGTACTCATATTAACTCCCACCGTTTACCCGCACTTGGTCATAAATAACGATTTTAGCTATTTTCCATATAAAAGTGGACCCACTCAACTCATAACCAAGCTAAAAACATTCCCATGGTTCTTTCTAGTTCCCCAATCAAAATTTGAGGCAAATCGGTTAATGGGTTTAATGAGTATGATCAGACAAACAGAGATTACAACTTAATATTCTTCGAATATTTCCAATTATCTTTAATAATTTGAGCATATTTGTAAATATATGAGATTATGTCAGTTTACCTTTATAAAAGCTCATTTAATTTGATATTTTAACGGAATTTATTCTTTGCCACAAACTAGAATTTTCCCATCTCTAGATCTGTGAAACCTGATGGTGTAATCCATTGATTTTTTAAACTAAAACTATTTTATCTTACAGAATTGATACAGTTTAACCAAGAGATAGATAGAAAGATAAATGTTACCGCTATGCAATTTCTATTGGTTCAGAATAGACACCAAACACATGACTGAACCCTGATCAGGCGCTAATGGACTCGGCATACTATTGTACTATAAATATACCAAAATCCGAAATCTCAGTAATTGTAAAAATAAATATTAGCCATGAAATATGTGGAAACAGTTTTTAAGAGCTCTATATAATTATTCAATAAGAAAACTAAATATTTAGAAGTAAATATTTCCATTTAATGTTATAGCGCCGATTCAAGGATTTATCTCTAATTGGATAATAAGATAGATAGAAAGAGATAGATGTTACCGCCATGCAATTTCTATTGGTGAGAATAGACAACAAACACATGACTGTTCTGAGTTAAACAAAGTTAAAATATAAATTATCTACGACACAAGGTAGCAAAGATATAGGGATTAGAAAATTGGAGTTAGTTGCAAGAACCCAGTTCCTTTGAGATTCTAATTTAAAAGTGACACACATGTGACATAAACACAAACGTTTTTAAAAAATACATTTAAGCAATAAATTAAATTGTATTTATTTACAAATATTTTATACAATACATCAATACACACATATTGATTAAAACAAATCCTATATTTTCAACACTAATGAAATTGGTTATTTATATTTATATTTGGGGTAGAAGTGGAGGAGGGTTCAACGGAGATACAGTTTGTCGGAGAAGACCTTACAACAGGGGAAATTTGAGGGATATGGTTCACAGTTATGTGTTTAATGTAATATACACTAGGCTAAAAGTATTATGTAATATTGTGCATATACTATTATATGTTGTAACTCTTGTATGTTTAAAAAATTAGAAAACATTTATAAATTGTAACTGTTTGAAAATGAAGTATGGAATGGCATAAATCAACCTATATTGTGCGGATAATTTGTTATATGTTAGTTTTTTTTATTTATCTTTTTTCATCAGAACTCCAGTTATTCTTTTTATTCCAATCCATAAGAACATTTTTACATAGTATAAAATGTTAAAGAAATAAAAAAAGGAAGGAATTGTGACAATTTTGACAATTGTGACAATTTTGACAATTTTGACAATTGTGACAATTTTGACAATTTTGACAATTGTGACAATTTTGACAATTGTGACAATTTTGACAATTTTGACAATTTTAGGTAATCATAGAATTTCTTTCGAGTTTATCTTATTGTAGCAGTTTTTTTTCTATCTTAAAATGATCTAGATTTATCTCTCACGGGTAGCCGTAGTACATTTGAATTTCCGAGCCGGGTCAACCTTTACGTCCCAGTTTATACTGTATCGTCCGGACATTGGGTAAATAAAGCAGACACACAATATGACTAGCCGGTGCAACAAGGTTGACGCGGTCAGACTTTAGGTTGAATTTACTTTTACTAAAGGGTCAGAGGTGCGTGCTCTATTCCTGTTCCTGTCTCTACTGCATAAATCACACTTTTAGAAATCCGCAATTAAAAAGAAAGAAAAAAAAAATCAGACAATGGTGTAAAGAGTATCATTTAACAGTCTCTTTAACATATGAAAACTAGATATTTCTAAAAAACATAAAATAATAATAAAGTGATAATAAAATAATACTCAAAATCTAATAAAATTATACTAAAAATATAATAAAATAATACTAAAAATCTAATAAAATAATACTAAAGAAATATTTACTGATTCCTGAAGTATATCCAGGATGATTGAATATCTTCTCAACTCCAACATTTCTAAAAACAAAAAGTGTGTCTAGGCTTTTTAGTTTAGTAAACATCTATGTTATGTGTTGAAAAGTGCGCTGGTTCAATTTCCAGAAATGAAGGGGTCGGCGATGAAACATTTTTTTTTCTAAAATGCCGTTTCAAAATTAAGCCTGATATTCAAAAATATGCTAGGTCCTATTTTCGATGCTTTTTATCCACCCCTGAAACATTGGTTTAATATGCCCCCCCCCCCTACTGGCAGGTATGGGGGGGGGACATTTTGCTCTAAAATGCCTTTTTTACCTTCAAACGTACTCGAAATGCACTCAGTCCTTATCTCAAAGGTTTTCAAAAAAAATCAAATATCTTTATACGTCATTTATTTGGAAATTGTATCACTGGGACTGGGCAATTTATTCTATTTTGTTGTAAAAAAACATGAAAATAAAATTATAATTAACATTTTTACTTACATCGTGATTTGAGATTCTGATGTAGACGTTCTATCATGTTCCCCTAGTCTTACTTCAACATCTCCTGGAGCTAACAAAAAAAATTCTGCCAAATTAAACCTCCTAGGTATCTACATTTTAAATTTTTTTGTAGTTTTTAATTAAGAAAATAGCTTCATTTTTCTGAAAATACATGACCGATGGCCGAAATTAAAGAATTTGAGCGGCGGGTTAAATTTAAGCCGCGGTTTAAATATGGTTGGTTCCACTTAAAATTGTATCAAATGTTTTAAGATTTAAGCCGGCGCTTAATTAAACCGGGTTTTGGCGGATTTAAACCGCGGCTCAAATTCTTTAAATTCCATCTAAAATTTATTAATTTTTGATAGTTAAATTTTGAACCGCCGATTCAAAGTCAAAGATTAAGGAAGAATTTGAATCCGAGATTCCATTTGAACCGACGGTGCGCAATTCAAATTCATTAAAATTTGAAATTGATATGAATTAAGATTTCAAGCTAAGATTATTTCACCTAACAGAATTCATAGTTTGAAATATCTAAGATTTTCGACATTGACTTGAACAGATGTAAAGTATAAGAAAAGCAGACTTTGTGACAACGACTAAATTCCTTTTGGATTATGCTGAAAAAAAGTGAATAATTTGTTGATAAACCGTTAAAAGTTTCCTTAATGACACATTTAAAACGGTTGCTGATCAATAATTACATTAACTTTCTACCATCATTTTGAAAATTCAAAAAAAAAAAATCTTGATATTGAAATAGTTTTATTATGAAAAAAAGAGGAAAAGAAAAAAGATTTTAAGTTAAAAAACATTAACCTTAAAATTTCAGCTAAAAAAATGTAAAACTACCTTTTTGTGAGCAATGAGCTGCAGTAACTACCCATCTGCTTGAAATAAGACTACCTCCACAGAAGAAAGCTTGCACAGAAGCAGTTTTAAATCTTAAGAATGCCATCCAAGGGTACTCATTCACCTTCGGTTAAAGGAGCTGTAAGCGTAATTTCAAGTGGTACTCCATACCTGATTCACAACGGTACCCTTGAAACCTTTATCTGATCAATAATGTGGAAGATATTGTTGTTTCTTGAGTTTTTATTTTTTCACAATCCTACAGTAGATATTCGCAAGTAACTTTTGTAGAGAAACCCCAATTGAAATAAAAAGTTTTAAAAATATTAAAAATTCTTGATCTGAAAAATCTTTTAAGGGTATTACTGTGAATCGGAAATTGTCCCTTTTTATAAAATAAGAAGAAAGCTGTTGAAAAAACTGATTTACATAATTTCTTACATCCTGAAGCTAGGAAGGGGGGGGGGTTAAGGCACGGAATAATGCTTCACTTTTTAAAATAAAGAAGTGAATTCTTTATAATCTCTAAACTTTTGCAGCCTGATGGTGTAAACCTTTGATATTTCAAAACTAGATTATTTGATCTATGAGAAAATTTAAGCTTGTGGCAACAACTCAGTTCTTTTGTAGTCCTTCATACCTACATTGAAACTGTATCCTTGCCACAAACTCTCATTTTCTAACCCCTATGGTTTTAAACCAGATTTGGGGAACCTTAAATATTTTATTTTTTTTTATCTTACTGAATTTAAGTTTAAATAATGTATAGGAATTAGACCATTTGCCACTGTTAAGTATTTTCTTTATGGGGGGGGGGGGTTACCATCGCAGAGGTTCAATGTCACAATTTTAGGAGGCGGGTGCCCCCCCCCCCTACAACGTACATAAATATGATGTATAAGTCTCTTCTTCAAGGCCAAGAGTAATTGTTTTCATATTTATTATTATTTGGTGATTTGTAACATATATTATTGCATGAAAATATTAGCCGGCTGACATTTTAATTATACTGATTAAGGATTCTAAATTATTTGCATTATTTCAAAAACAAATAAATCATATTATTAAACTTATTGAACAAGACACAGATGTGTAATATATTAATACAAACATGTATTATTATAAGAGGATATGTACTGCAGGGGGGGGACGGATTAGTAAAATTTATGGTTTCCAATGGGTGCTGATTAGGGTTTCCATTCGCAAAACTTTTGCGCAATTTTTGCGGAACGAAACGCAAAATTTTTCTTTCTTTGCGCATCAGTTTTGCGCGAAAAAACAACAATTTGCGCAATCATTCGCAAAAGTCATTTCGCGCAAAATTGCCCTATTCCGCTTTTGCGAAACTCAAGTTTTGCGCAATTCCGCAACTAGAGTTTTGCGCAATTCCGCAATTTCGTAAAAATCAAACGGTTGGTGACGGTGTGTGTTTCTTAGAATTCAATTCTGGAAAAATCTTGTTTTGGAATGTCTTCCTANATTTCTGGTACGACTTTGTGACCTTGTTGTTACTTAAATTATTACTTTAAATCTACATGTAAGAGAAACATAGGCAGCCGTAGTACTTTTAAATTTCCGAGCCGGGTCAACCTTTCCGGTCCCAGTTTGTACTGTACCTAGCTCTATAGACAGGACTAGCTGGTGCAAAAAGGTTGACGTGGTCAGACTCTATGCTTCATATAAGTTGAATTTACTTTTACTAAAAGGGCAGATTTGCGTGGAAACTGAGTTTTTGCGTTAATACCAAATTTTCAAATACCAATATCTTAACAACTTGATGGTTCAAACTTAGATTATTTGATCTAACAGAAATCATTGTTTGAAATATCGAAGGTCTTCAATTATAGGTTGTACAGATAGGGATTAGAAATTCAGAGTTTGTGGGGAAAACTCAATTCCTTTCTTGTTAACATGTTAGAAAATTATGATATTCTGAAAAAAAATTACGAGATGATTATTCCGGATTATCGTCCCATGAACTTGTTCAGCATGTCACACCTAGCTCTGTGCAACATCTATATATGGGGTAGATAAATTTGAAAATCAGTAAAAAAAAGTTCTGCCTTTTATTGCGTTTGACGTTTTTACCAGCTTCAGGAAAAGTTCCGGAACCAAATTGGTCTTGAAATTATTGAATCCTAAATTTTTAAAAAATATTTGTAAGATTACCTCCGTTTCTAAACCTCCTACAATTTTCCCATTGTCATTCGGTAAACCACACACTGTAAATAAAAATAGTTTTAATAATTTTTATGTGTGGGTTTTTATAAAGTTTTTTTTTTTGCAAGGGAATTTAATATCTATAACAATTCATTGCTTTTTGATCTTTAAGATTTGAGTATTTTCGCGTTTTGTGTCATGAAATATTTCTTTCATGGATGTTTTTATTTCTTGTTTTATCGTATTTTTTCGTAATTTATTTTTGAAAGTCAAGTAACTTTTAATATATATACATTTTGCATGTATATCTGTTTATTTGTAACCGATTAACGTCTAAACGGCTGAACCGATCGGGATTAATTTTTTTGTGGGACCTTACACAATCCTAAGGGAAGGTTTATGGATGATGAGAATTTTAAAGATTTGCCTTAATAAAAATTCGATTTTCAAAAAGATTTGAAAATCCACGATAACATATTATTAAATCCGCAAACTTTTGTGTTATGTTTTATAATATATGCAACAGAGAAAATGTTCACAGATAAAGCAACACATAAAAATTGAAATAGAAGAAAAACGAGATGAGTGTCATGAAAGCCTGGTTTAAAAAAATTTAAGTAATTTATAATTTTATGTAAAATTCATTTAAACTGCAACAGATATCAAAGAAAGCAAATTTTAGCTTTTATACTTTTTATTTCTTAAAAGTCTGTTTTTCGACTAACTCTACGGCTGAAGAGTAAAAATATTTGATATTTTTTATTATTTAACATTTAGAATAATATAATACTGATTGCATGGCAATATAATTTATTGAACAGTAAACCATGTTGTTTGTTTTTCGAAAGCCATGACGTATGATGATTAAAATTAACGATAATAACAACGGAGACATTCTATTTCGAACTTTTCAATTTTAGAACCTATATCACAGTAAATGGTTCAGTCAGCGAGACTTATTTTTGAAAACCATTTTCCGCCATAATAGAAGATCAAACTTATATATTTAAATATCTATAATCGAGAGATGTTGATTAATTAGATTAATATATGAGTTACGTTATAGATTTAACGGTTCTGTCAATATATCAGAGAGCTGTGACTTTCGATCAGAATTTGACCAATTATACATAATATTTTAGCATTTTCTCTTAAATACTTTTTTGTTCGCATAAACATTTTGAATGAAAAAGTATAAAATAAACAAATCCGTAAGTTTAAAGATTGTTAATTTTGATTTCAAATAAATGAAACCGAATGCTTCTCACTCTGGTTAGTCCGGGGTGGAGTGAAAATAACACAGACTCCGTTGTGGTTGATTAGGTCGTTTTCCCTTATATATGCTTTGAGGGTCAAAATTTGGCGTAATGAAAGAATATCGAATATTTGCTGCATATTTTTTTTATAAATATTTGTCTTTCTTATAGTATGTCAAATTTTGACCTTGACAACAACAACCAAATAACGGTCCAAACATGATGAAAAAACTAGAATTTTCATGAAATCAAACAGATCTCATATGTAAATTTACGCAAATCAATTGAGAAACTTGGAGGAAGTCGGATTACACTTTTTTAATATGTTTTAGATGACATCTCTCCTTGTTGCAATATAAAATGTTTGAAATAGAATTCAATATTTCTTAAATAAACATGGAATTTTCGATATACTCAACGGAAATTGAAACCTTCTCAAGTTTAGGTTTACAAAGAATAGAATTTCCAATCCCTGCCCCCAATATACTCAAGTATTGACACTATTACTTCTGTTTATTCAGATTAAAATAAATGTTTTCTTATAAATAAAAAAAAATTCTTGCTCTTAAAGGGACTGTAAGCGTAATTTCGAGTGACCCTCTGTGCAAAGGTACAAAGCACTCCTGTATGCCGAGTCCATTAGCGCCTGATTCAATCAGGGTTTAGTCATGTTTTTGTTGTTTATTCAGAACCAAAAGAAATTGCTTGGCGTCATTATTCAAATTAGAAATAAATCTTAAAATCGGCGCTAGCAGTAAATGGAAATATTTAATACTACTTAAACTATAGTGATGGAACCCTGACAAGTTTTGTCTGATCAAGTATGAATTAGATATCCATGTTTTTGTTTCTTTAAACTTTTTAATTTCATTCGCTGTGCGAGTCAATTGCGCATTTCTTTCTTTAAAAAAAACAAGGATGAAATTATCAGAATTAAACACTTTTAGAGCCAGAAAAACGAGTAATCTTTCCTAATTTTTTAGATTAAGGTTTTAAAGGTATAGTTGTAAATCATTTCGATCTTTGCATGAAGGGTCACTTGAAATTATGCTGACTGTCCCTTTAATTTTATATATTTTAGTAACTTTGCAGACCTTTTATATATTTTCTTCTACGTCAACAATTTGCCTTAACAAAACAAAGCGGATATTTCCTTTTAAGGTTTTAACTAATTTTCAGTAAGCTTTTAAAACGTAAATGGGGGATTGGAAGTGTTGTGTGTTGCATATACATGAAAAAGAAAAGCGGAAGTTTCATTCATGTTTTTGAAGAATATGTGAATTTTTTTGGTGTACAAATCTGGTATTAAGAATATATATTCTGTTATATAATTCTGGTATTTAGAATATGTATTCTGGTAAATAGATCTGGTATTCAGAGTATAAATACAGGTATATAGATCTGGTATTAAAAGTATATATTCTGGTAAAAAGATCTGGTATTAAGAATATATTCTGGTAAATAGATCTGGTATTCAGAATATAAATACTGGTTTATAGATCTGGTAATGAGAATACATTCCGGGAAATAGATCTGGTATTGAGAATACATTCTGATACGTAGATCTGGTATTCAGAATATAAATACTGGTTTATAGATCTGGTAAAATATTTTCTGGTGAATAGATCTGGAATTGAGAATATATTTTGGTAAATAGATCTGGTATTCAGAGTATAAATACTGGTTTATAGATCTGGTATTAATAATATGTTCTGGTAATTAGATCCGGTATTAAGAATATATTCAGGTAAAAAGATCTGGTATTTAGAATATATTCTGGTAAAAAGATCTGGTATTAAGAATATATTCTGGTAAGTAGATCTGGTATTCAGAATATAAATACTGGTTTATAGATCTGGTAAAATATTTTCTGGTGAATAGATCTGGAATTGAGAATATATTTTGGTAAAAAGATCTGGTATTCAGAATATAAATACTGGTTTATAGATCTGGTAAAATATATTCTGGTAAATAGATCTGGTATTGAGAATATATTTTGGTAAATAGATCTGGTATTCAGAATATGTTCTGATAAATAGATCTGGTATTGAAAATATATTCTGGTAAATATATTACTATATATCAAATTATTAAAGTTAAAGTTATAACTCACCACAATCTAAAGGAAAGAACATGAGCAAAGATTTTATCACTATTTTTATTTTTAATCAAAAATAAATAATTTGTAATTTAAATTTATGAATATAATATATAAATGTTTACTAGAACATAAGATTTCTAATAATCCAGAACAAAAAATACAGTTTACAGGATCTTTCCATTTTTATGTTGAAATAAAATAAAAATAAAAATAATGATAAAATATAATGCACACAACATTTTCTCTGAAATATTTATGAGAACATATTATTTTTGGACTTTTATTTAATCAAGAAAATATAAAAAAAACATTAATTATCAAAATTGTATTTTAGATTTCACATTGTTGTAACACGGACTCTCAGATTTGGCCCAAAATCAAAAAATTATTTTATATTTCGATTTTATTGACGTTTTTTGAAACAATACGTTCGCATACGGAGTTCTTCAGAACTCTAAGATAAAGTCATCATATTTTGAAAATTATACATTTTCTTAGGGAATTTATTTTTTTCACAAACTCAAATTTTCTAATCCCTAAATCTTTGCAACCTGATGTTGTAAACCTTTCATATTTCAAACTCAGACTATTGGATTTTACAGAATTCATAGTTTGAAATATAAAAGGTCTATACGTAATAGGTATGGTTAAATCGTTTTGTAAATATATTTAAAATTCATGGAGCCTCTAAATAAAAATGAAATATTTTTTAACGATAAATATTATTTTTGCAACTGTTTCCCCATTCCCTGTGGAGGGTCGATTTTTAACTCTTGTTTTCAGAATTATATATATACTCTACTTTAATGTTAAGTATCTATAAAAAATAAAGTTTTTGCAGAATTCCTGGCTCATAAACATTTCATCTTGGAAGAAAAATGTTAATTTCCAATTGTTGTTCTGGTGCAGGGTTACCCACAAAGGATGAGACTTCAATTACACCCAAAAATTCATTGAACATGATGATCTGGAGGTTTAATTTTGTCTTCTGATTGTATATTATCTTTAAACGATGCAATACGTTATTAGACAAAAAACAAACAAGTTTACTGTTAGAGGAAATAAAAAATGAAAGAATAAATACTGGATAAATTCCGCACAGTCGTCTCTGAAGTCTAATTCTGTGTGGGTAATCTTGTATCCATGAAGCTATTATTTAGACAGGTGAGATTGAAACTGCAAAATTTAATTTTCTTTTTTTATTCCTTTAACTTTGAACAACTTGAACCACACGTTTGAACATGCTATTCGTAACTAACATTTGGAAAACTAAATTAGAACAAGTGGCCTTGAACAATTTAATAAAGGTGCAAATTGTAAAGAAAGGATCACAACTCACGTGTGTACTTTTAAAATTCTACTGTAAATATTTAAGAAATATTAAAACATGTATGTATCATCAACATCTTTTCTTCTTAACAATTTACAAAACAATTCTAAAATAATGGAACAGTTCAATTACATAAATCTATCTACAAATTCCCTTTAAGCGATCAAATGATCAAAATATGAAATTTTACATGGATTTGTCGTTCAACATTCTACATTCATGGAATATATGACATAAATCTACATTTATGGAATATATGACATAAATCTACATTTATGGAATATATAATTTACANCTAGGGTTAACACAAAATATTTGATTTACAATCTACATTTGGCAAAAATTATAAACTCTTAATGAAAATTCCATAAATAAAATATTTTGGTAACGGAATATTTCATATTCTAAATAAAACCCAAACCGCCATCTTCTTTTTCTCTGTAAATTTCACAAAAAATTAAAGCTAGAAAATTTTACTTTTTTAATTAAGGTTTGCACTTTTCTACGGTTATACAATTGTGATCGATTATTCAGTCACTTAAAATATAAAATATGTACAATTATTAAAACAAGTTCAAAACATTTTCTATTGTTAATTTAATATTTTAGTTTATTACTGGATGTTTATTTTATATTTTAAAAGTGACTGAAAAATCACAATTGTATAAAAGTGCAAACCTTAATTTAAAATTAAGGGAACGGTAGAAAGACGACATTGAGCGGGATAAACATGGAAGGCCGATTTATGTGGCAACAACTTTGTTTCATGGAGTTGATCCAATCTTCGGTGAGGTTTGTTCTCATATATATCTATATCTATATCTATATCTATATCTTTATCTATATCTATATCTATATCTATATCTATATCTATATCTATATCTATCCAATAAACTTGTTTAAAACTAAAAAAATTGTATCTATTCCAGTCAGGCCATAAATAGCTTTTCCTTATAATTACTGTTCAAACTTGTTAAAAGTAAATTTTAATTGTTTCAAAATTACTTTGTTAAAAAATGACAAAGTTGAAAGTTTATATCTTTAATCACCATAAAGTTTTTAAAGTTATTCTTTTAAAAGCTACGTGTAGGGTTGTTAATCGTTTTTGTATTTGTAAACGATCGTTAAACGATCGTTTTTTGTTTCGATCGTTTCGTTTGCTGAAAAACGATCGTTTTTAAAAACGACACACTAGTTTTGAACTTTAAGAAAACGAATAACGATCGTTTTTGAAAACGATCGTTTTATTAAAACGAATTGCGACCGTTTTTTATACGATTGTTTTTAAAAAAAAAGATCGTTTAAAAAATTATTGAAAATTATGTTAACGATCGTTAACGAAACGACGAACTTTATCAAAACGGTCGTTTTTGGAAAAAAATTACATGCAACTTTATTGAATGTCGTCTTACATGAAGTTTAACAGTTGTGGGGGAGTTAAAACTCCTTGATATTTTCTTAAAAACTACTTAAGTACATATGCCCTTCAGGTCAGTTTCCTCTCTTCGTTAACGATCGTTAATGAAGGGGTCGTCGTTAACGATCGTTAACGAAGGGTTGTCGTTAACGATCGTTAGCGAAGGGTCGTCGTTAACGATCTTTAACGAAGGTTCGTCTTTAACGATCGTTAACGAAGAGTCGTTGTTAACGATTGTTAACGTAACAACGAATTTTATAAAAACGATCGTTTTAAAAACGACCATTTTTAAAACTCGATTTGTTAAAAAAGATCGTTTTCAAAAACGATCTTTTCGTTATCGATTTTTCGTCGTCGTTTTCATTACGAAGCGATCGTTTTTCTGAAAAATGAAAACGTTAACATCCCTCACTACGTACATGGTTCGGATAGATGTTGGAATTAAACTTTAATGTTCGAAAACGTTTTATGAGTAGGAGTAGGAGTAGGAGTAGGAGTAGGAGTAGGAGTAGGAGTAGGAGTAGGAGTAGGAGTAGGAGTAGGAGAAATACGTTTTCTAAAGGATTTAGAGAATACAAAAGAAAAAGGTAAAAATACCTTTTTTCAGTACAGTGAGACCCCGCCAAATCTTGAATGTAAAGACGACTTTTTATGAATTATGACTTTTTTAGTCCAATGAACATGAGACACAGCAACTGTTTAGCGTAAACAAACACATTATAACCTAATTTCTATAAGTTACTTCAAATAAAAAGTACAAATAGTTACAATATCAAAAACAGTTAAGTATTAATATCTTCCTTATCCACATTAATCTGGTTCTCATTGTAAAAATATTTGATCATTTTCTTGAAATACTTTATTTTAAAAAACTGTCCTGGGTGTCCTTCTTAATGGGAGTGTTCGTGAAAAATGAAAGGGGGTATAGGCTTACGGCGAAAAATAAGCGCTTTTGATCGCTACTATTCTTACTTCTATCGGTTATAGCGTCTATTAGGGGAAAATTGTTAAAAACGACTTGCACAGAAGAACGTAGCGTCCATACAAATTCAGAAGGTTGCAGCATTCAACTCAGATCGTAAAATAATCAATTTAATTCCAAACATATTATTCAGATATTACAAACAGTAGTCAGCGATTATTTTTAGACGCATTCGTATATACATAGGTAATATTTCATAATATTTTTGATTTCGTATTTTTAAATTATATTTCGCTGGCGCTGGATTTTCGAACATTCCTGGAGAATATGAAAATGTCGTCTTCATTATAAAAAATCCTCGAAACAGAAATAAATGTAACTCTTAGATCATGAAAAATAAAAAAAGTATTATGAAATATCAACTTAATACGAATGCGTTGAAAAATATTCGAAGACTATAGGTTGTAATATCTGAATGATTTGTTTGAAATTAAATTGATTTTTTATGATGCAAGTTGAATGTTGCAACTTTCTGATTTTGAATGGACGCTACGTTCTTCAGCATGAGTCGTTTTCTCCTAATAGACGCAACAGATAGAAGTATAAGATTAGTAGCGATCAAGAGCGCTTATTTTTTGCCGTAAGTCTATACCCTATTTCATTTTTTGCGAACACTCCCTTTAAAAGACGAAATGAAAAACAATAATTTTTTTAGATAAACTTACCCTAAGTCAAATGCACTTTTTAAATATTGTTTATTTTTAAATAATATTTATAAAAAATCTAAAATTTGAATAATCAAACACCCAGAATATTTACCTAAAGATAAGGAAAACTTATCTTGTCTTGATGTTTAAACTGCCATCTTGTCCATTTTTAGGTTCATGTAATTTTGACCGATTACATAAATTTAAGTTTTAATTCAATTGTTGTACAATTATTATTTCAGTGATTTTATGATAATTTATGTAAAATCTAATGTTATTATTCCAGTTTAAAAATGATTTTGAAAATAGTTTTTCTATTTTTTCTCGCCGCAGATGCTTTAGGAATGCATTAAAATCAACTTTGAGCTAAAACCAATTACAAATTTGTATTATTGTATCAGATATCCATCCTAGGGTGAACACAAAGTTGTATTATTGTATCAGATATCCATCCTAGGGTAAACACAAAGTTGTAATATTGTATCAGATATCCATCCATAGGGTGAACACAAAGTTGTATTATTGTATCAAATATCCATCCTAAAGTGAATAACATAAAGTTGTATTATTGTATCAGATATCCATCCTAGGATTAACATAAAGTTGTATTATTGTATCAGATATCCATCCTAGGGTTAACATAAAGTTGTATTATTGTATCAGATATCCATCCTAGGGTGAACACAAAGTTGTATTATTGTATCAGATATCCATCCTAGGATTATAACCTTAAGTTCCTACGAGTCCGTCTGTTGTTAAGAATGCATGACATTTTTAGAAGAACCTTTTTAAACATTTCTATTTTAGAATGATTTAACAAAATATTTAGTAAAACTACAAATTTTTCAAAAAACTTATTATCTGAAACATCTAAATATGGGTTTACATGATGATCTGGCCGCTTTTAGAGACTTACATTTTTCGATTAACCATAAACATTGATCTAACATCAGTAAACCCATGTCACATGTAACAACATTTGTTTATTTGGTCATTTAAGCAAGGTCGAAAACAGCTGATCTGGAAAAGGTCTCCAAAGGTCGAAAACGCTGATCTGGTAAAGGTCTCCAAAGGTCAAAACAGTTGATCTGGTAAAGGTCATGAAAGGTCGAAAACGGCTGATCTGGTAAAGGTCTCGAAAGGTCGAAAACGGCTGATATCTGGTAAAGGTCTTGAAAGGTCGAAAACGGCTAATATCTGGTAAAGGTCTTGAAAGGTCGAAAGCGGCTGATCTGGTAAAGGTCTCGAATGGTCGAAAACGGCTGATATCTGGTAAAGGTCTTGAAAGGTCGAAAACGGCTAATATCTGGTAAAGGTCTTGAAAGGTCGAAAGCGGCTGATCTGGTAAAGGTCTCGAAAGGTCGAAAACGGCTGATCTGGTAAAGGTCTCGAAAAGTCGAAAACAGCTGATCTAGGAAAGGTCTCGAAAGGTCGAAAACAGCTGATCTGGTAAAGGTCTCGAAAGGTCGAAAACAGCTGATCTGGTAAAGGTCTCGGAAGGTTGAAAACAGCTGATCTGGTAAAGGTCTCGAAAGGTCGAAAACGACTGATCTGGTAAAGGTCTCGAAAGGTCGAAAACAGCTGATCTGGTAAAGGTCTCTAAAGGTCGAAAACAGCTGATCTAGTAAAGGTCTCGAAAGGTCGGAAACGACCTGTAACATTTTGACATGAAAAAGTCGATAAATGCATTCCATTGAAACAAAATTTTTCATTGTCAAAAAATTTATATAAAATTAGTTTTATTTGGAATGTTTATATTTGGGTTAGAGTTAGAGGTGGGTAGAATTTTTTTCTCAGAAATTTCATATTTTTTCCCAAAAATTTATTGACCTAACCATCTGGTGTTACAGCAAACATGTTAGACCATAGGGAATGTAACGGTGAAAAATATGTTTCTAAAACAAAATCAGTTTAACAAATATCAAAATAATTTCATAGGCCGAAAACAACCTTTTTGTCATGAATGGGCCAGAACAAAGTTGCATTATTGTATCAGATATTCACCCTAGGACTAAAACCAAAGGTCCAGCTCAGTTAGCCGACAGGGAGAATATCGATTACTGGATGGAGAAAGGAATGGAAGAGCTGAACAAGGTTACTCTTTAACGAAGTTTTGATTAATACATCAATAAAGAATATTTTAATGAATCAATTAAATTTCATTACAAATATCTTTACCTCTGATTCAATTAAAATTTACAATTTATTTGATTAAATTATTACTTTGAGTTTTTTAAACAATGTCGAGTATTATGTATATAATTGTTTCATATCGAAAATCATCAAAAATCTCAAATTTTCTTGTCACGTTTTTAATGAAACTCTTATTAAATGATGGATTTCTTACACACTTAAAATTACGCTGACAGTCCCTTTAAATCCATCAGGCGAAGGAGACGAAGCCGAATGAGAACCTGGCCAAGAATATAATCCTCTTTGTTGGAGATGGTATGAGTTTACCAACAGTATCCGCAGCAAGAATATTTAAAGGACAATTCTTCTCAGAGTCAGGTACAATGGAAGCAACCCCTGTACACAAAACGTTGCCTGTTTACAGAGACAGCCGAGCAACAGTCTTTGTCACTGTCACATACTGCATAGTATTTTTTAACATACAAACAGAAAGAAAGAGACTTTTTTCTTACATTCATGGTTCCCGGCTGTCGGTTTATTTCTTTAAAAGGAAAGTAAAGAGTTCAGAGAGAGTTAGGTCGTCTACAAACTCTCTCCTCTGTGTGTAAATACAATACATTAAACTCATAAATTTCACTAGAAAATTAAGCAGAACATTCACTTGGTGTACTGTCCTGTTTTGCCATATATAATTTGTATAATTTGTACTTAAAATTCAGCCCTGAGACCGAATTTAAAGAATTTAAGTCGCGGCTTAAATCCGCGAAAACCCGGTTTAAATTGAGCGCCCGGTTAAATCTTGAAACATATTATACAATCTTAAGTGAAACCAACCATAATTGAGCAGCGGCTTAAATTTAAACCGCGGCTCAAATTCTTTAAATTCGGCCTTAGTACCTTTAAATGAACTAAAGTTTATAATGTACTAAATACAGTTTTATACTTGGTCAGACCTACTCTGTAAGCAGCATGGTTCCTGACAGCGCATCAACCGCATCTGCCATGTTTTCTGGGATTAAAACTGTATCCTGGACAATGGGGTTTGATTCCCATATTGTTGATGGCGATCCGAGCTCAGTTGCAAATGCTACAGCTGTTAAAACCATTCTTGACTGGGCCCAGGAAGCTGGAATGGCAACAGGTATGTTGTAAAGAAAATTTTTAAATCGTCTTCTATTTTTCCCATTTTTTCCTAAAATATTCTAGGATTTATAACCAACACAAGAGCTACCCATGCCACCCCTGGTGCGCTCTATGCTAAGTCTGCAGATCGAGACTGGGAGTGTGACTCAGAAATGCCAAGTGATGCCAAGGTTTAAGTCAAAACTAGGGATTCCAAGTGGATTTTGCTTGCGCGCAATTGTAAACCCATAAATTTCGCGCAATTCCAAGCAATGTCCCGCAATTACTATTTATTCCACACAATTCCGCGCACCAGGATTTCGATTTGAAACCCTGTGCACATTTAATTTAAATCTTAAATTTAAAATTAATCCAAATTTTTGTCACAGGACCTAAAAGACATAGCAAGACAGATGATGGAAAACAATCCTGGAAAAGATACAGATATTATTCTTGGAGGTGGGCTTGCTCCATTTGTTAACTATGACCTAATTGATGAAGAGCAAAAAACAAGGTATTTAAAGCATAGTTTCAAACAAAGAGAATAGAATATATATTAGAGGGGAATTTAGATAATCTCACGGTATGAATTTTTTCAGTCCCTTTCAACCTGAAAGTGTACAAATCATGTAAATGTTCACAAATTAAATGCAGTAGAGTACACTAATACAGTATGTTCCCTAGACTCCATTTCAATTTCGAATTTTTAAAGCTGTTAAATAAACTTTATAATGAACTAGGTGAATAAAAAACAACATTTGATTTACAGTTATAACGGAAAATCATCGTTTGTAAAGTGAAAGGCATAGAGTCTATGTGAAATGATCATTGGTCAATTATGAAACCAGCCTATTTCATAATTGGTTTTCTTTTAATATTAATTTTAGATTTTCTATAAAATTATATTCCTGGGCCCAAAAGGTTATATAGCACAAATATGTGAAGTATACCGGCAGTATGGAAACAGTACAACAAAATGGCCGTTTTACACTTTTTTCTAGTAAATTCCCCTCTAATATATATTCTATTCTCGTTGGTTTCAAATGACCTTCCAAGAGGCGACTACCTGATTCAAATGTACCCTTTCAATCTTGGACTGATCAAGGATAACAGACTTTTCCCTTTTTATCTAGTAATTTTTGAACACTTTGTTTGCAAGCGGTTTTACATTTAAGGAATATTAATATTTACTATATCTTCACATTTAAATTTTGAAAACCACGATGAACATAGAATATTCAAGACTTTTTAGTAATAAATGTGACATAATCCGAAATTAACTTTACAAGCCAATTTTACGACTTTTTCTCTTGACATTTTTTACATTATCAATTTTAATGAAAAGAAATTTTAAGGATTTTTTTTTGTAAAAAACATCTTTATTGTTATGCACAGGGTATAAGGTACAGAACGGTAAAAATGTCAGTCTGTGTAAAAAAAATTGTTACTAAAGCTACAGATCTTAAAACTGAATTTTTAAAAAGCCCTTGAAAAACATGTGTCACATTGTGGAAGACGATACCTGGCCGCCTAAAAAAAAACTCCACAAGATTCACCGGAATAAGATAGAACTGATACGGGGCATTGTACTTTCAGTCTAATGAGTGTGATCTTGATATAATCATATTTTCTGAACACTCTAGTAAAAGTTATAGGAAATATATATACTGGAAGTTACTTTATGCGTTTCATTAGAGATCGACCTCACGTCCTCTATAACATGATGATATTTGTTTAAAACAAAAAAAATATTTTTTACAATTTTTGACCATTTTTTTGGCCTTTTCTTCAACCCTCGCTATAGCACCCAAACTATTAAATTTTTCGCTCTAATTTATTTTTCAATAAACTTTGTGCTATGCACATGCATTTCAACCAATTATCTATTCCTTAAGGCCTTTTTCTAGCCCCCCCCCCCCACTAAGGCTATGCATAGATTCAGACCCCCCCAGCCTTTATAGAGTTTACATATAAGGGAAATATTTAACCTTCTTTGCCCTTTAAGATAAGTGAAATGTTGATGTCAATTTACCTTGTTATAAATTGAAATATTTCAGGTTTGACTATGCACTTGAATACTGGAACTTATGCCCCCTGAAATTGAAATATTTCAGATTTGACTATGCACTTGAATACTGGAACTAATGTCCCCTGAAATTGAGATATGTAAGGTTTTACTATGCCCTTGAATACTTTAACTAATGTCTCCTGAAATTGAGATATTTAAGGTTTGACTATGCACTTAAATACTGGATTTAATGTCTCCTGAAATTGAGATATTTCAGGTTTGACTATGCTTTTGAATACTGGAACTAATGTGCCCTGAAATTGATATATTTCAGGTTTGACTATGCACTTGAATACTGGAACTAATGTGCCCTGATATTTCAGGTTTGACTATGCACTTGAATACTGGAACTGCCATCGTGATGATAATAGAAATCTATTGGATGAGTGGCAGGCAGAACATACCAATGGTGCAATTATTTTCAATAAAACCCAGCTTCTGTCAGACACACTTTTAGAAGCAGACAAAGTGAGAGGTAAGCTCCATTAACTCATTTTCGGCCTGTTTTGTGCCTTAAGTAAGAAATCATCATCATTGGATCGTTACCACGGTGGACTAAGCCAGTGAGGTCGGTCAAATAGGCCTAGGATTAGGCCGGGTACTGTAAACAGTCTGAACGCGCAGTACTGTACCATTAGATCAGGTCAGTACACACTGTTATCTGGCAGGCCGGTACAAACTGGGCAGGTCCTGTTCGATTTCATTGGAGAATCAAAACTTATTTTCAAAGATCCACCAGATTTTCACTAATGAACTCCAAGCTCTTCTTTGAAAACCTCCAGATTTTCATTGGAGATCGCAATAAAGGAATCTACGATAACAAATTGGAATCAGAAACTGGATTTTGTTGCATAATCAAAATTTTGTTTGATTGAAATTGTACTGTATATCAAATTCATGTACCAATAGTTAAAATGACAGTTATGAATATGATAGTGTAGCAGCAATGTATCATCCAATTAGAACCAATGGAAACTTTAACCCATTTATAATTCAATGATAACCCAAGGGCGTAGTTTTTAAATGGACCTGCATTTCCATTGCTTACATAAGTTTTTAGAATAGAGAGATTCAATGAAAATTGTTGCTTATCAAAAACATAGCTTTTCATTAAGGAAAGATAATTGTTTTGTCCCCATACAGTTGGATTTAATCTGAAAGCTTAAAATGCCTAAATTTTCACAATGCATATTGCATTTATCATTTATTGTGCATTTTCAATAAGGTAACACAGTAACTTTCCCATTGAACTGGATGCAGTTTAGGATGTAATTGCTGTTAATGTTTCAAAAAATATTCATTTTTGAATTAATAGTGACAGCATATGTTTGAAATAAGGCATTTATATTTTGCTTGAAACTAAAGCATTTTGGAAATACAAACATATAACAATATTGTGAGATATTACTAACCTTCTGCAGTTCATAATCTAAAACAAAATGTTTTTTAAAATGCTTTCAAACTAAATGTTACAATAATAATTTCACAAGGTTTTTTTGCCTGGACCTACATGCCCTATGAAGATCAGCTGAATGCAAGTTCATCTGCCCCTAATCTTGAAGAAATGACTCGAGCAGCTGTTCAGTTCCTGGAGAGTAAAGGAGGAGATAAAGGATATTTCCTGATGGTAGAAGGAGGAAAGATTGATCATGCTCACCATGGTTCAGAGGTTAGTAATAACTTTATTAAGTTTAATTATAAACCACATTGAATTGTTTCCTGTATGCTATGTAAAATTGAACATGAATCAAATTCAAAAAAGCTTACCAAAATAATCATTAATATTGAATTATTCTGTGCACGGTTAATAAAAATGTATTGTTTATGTTTTACTTGAAAAGTGAATCACATCCTTGTTTTTGAACAAACCATTCAAAAATATTGATTTGCTCATGAATTTATTACAGACTAAGGAAAAATAAAAAAAATGAAAAAGTGCGCCTTGTCATTTCTAATTATTAATAATATATATTTTTATTATAATAATACAAAAACAGGAGTGCTTCCATGGTTGGTCTGAGTAATAGAATAATTCAAAGATTTTGAATGATTTATAAAAAATATGTTGAGATTTTTGGATTCACAATTTCTTATTTACAATTTTACAATATATCTAATACATTACACAATAGTTTGTTAAACAAGAGAATAGTCCCTTTCCCATCTTGCAATATAAACTTCTTTTAAAGGGATTGTAAGTGTAATTTAAAATGACCCTCTAAACAAAAATGACAATGCCCGATTCACAATGGTTGATCCCTTGAAACCTTTATCTGTTCAATAATGGATCAAGACTGAAGATATTGTCAGTTTCCCTAGGATTTAAAGTATTTAATTCTGATAAATCTGATATATATCCCTAAAGTAGAAATGTGCAAGTCACTTTTTAAAAGAAACCCAATTGAGACTAATAAGTTTTTTTTAAGATTTTAAACTTTGATATATAATTCATACTGGATCAGAAAAAGCTTTTAAAGGCACTGTTGTAAATTGGCCTTTGTCATCTTTGGAATAATCAAGATTACGCTTACTTTTCAAAGACAACTGTGGCCGAAGAAAAATCCGATTTTTCGTTTAGAATTTGAGTGGAAAGGGATGGTCCCTCTCTGTAGACACTATTTGATGTTTTTTTTCAGTAACAGTAGCCCAATAACACTTAAATTTATTATATTCTAACGTCATTATGTGTTCGTTATTATGTACTAAAATATGAAAACTTTTGATATTTGAGTTAGCAAGAAATTTACGTTTTTCGTATTAAAACATGTAAAATATGTATACAAAGACGACGTCTCTACGACAATCAATTAATCATTACTCGTATTTTGGTTCCTAGATTTTGTAGATTTTGTTCGTTTATGTCAACTTTTCATTTGTCATGCCGCGTTCAATTCAGCTTTTTACACAGGCAATACAAAATTTTGAATGCGATAAAATAGTGTTATTTTAGAAATAGAAAATTAAAAAACAACAAAAATTAAAAAATAATGACATTTACAATTAACGATTAGGTACTACACTTTAATTTTATATTCGAAATTTATTTTGATTCACTTCATACTGAAAAAAACATCAATTAGTGTCTATAGAGAGGGACCGCCCCTTTCCGCTCGAATTCTGAACGAAAAATCGGTTTTTTTCTGGCCACAGTTGTCTTTGAAAAGTAAGACTATTACCAATCAAGAGCGAATAGGCTGTTTAGTTTACCCTGAAATTACCCAAATAAGTGAACGGTCCCTTTAAGGCTTCTCGTGCTTTGAGAGAAACAATTGGATTGGACCGTGCAGTTGCCTCTGCCGTTGATCTTGTTAATACGGAAGAAACACTAATTATGGTAACAGCAGATCATTCTCATACTCTGGCAATTGGAGGTTACAATGATAGATTTGCTGATATCACTCGGGAGGTTCAACGTAAGTGAAGTTTAAATTAAGGGACTGTAAGTGAAGTTTAAATTAAGGGACTGTAAGTGAAGTTTAAATTAAGGGACTGTAAGTGAAGTTTAAATTAAGGGACTGTAAGTAAAGTTTAAATTAAGGGACTGTAAGCTTGATTTTAATTGACTCTCCGTGCAAAGGTGGGAATGTTTCTTTTGTTGAGAAACCACAGTTGAAAATAATCAGTTTTTGAAATGATAAACATTGATAGATACTTGATCAGACAAAGCTTTCAAGGGCACTGTTGTGAATAGGGCATTGACATCTTTTCATAAGGAAAGTACACTCACAGTCCCATATAACTCATTATTTACTGGTTCTAAAAATCTTCAAAGGCATTAAAAAGAAACTCTATGATTGCTGTAATTTTATAGAACCTGGTCACAGCGCTTCACATGCAAGCGATGGAGACCGTTACACCATCATGACCTATGGAAATGGAGCAGGGTTTAAGGAGAATCGAGCTGAAGTAGATGAAGATTATGAACTATATATCCAGAGAGGACCTGTACCAGAGGAGTCTTTAGATTATGAATACAAGTTTCCTAGTTCGGCACCCCTCTCCTCAGAGACCCATGGAGGCGATGATGTTGGAATCTGGGCCATAGGTATTTATGGGGTTTTTGTGTTTCTTCACTTTAAAACTCGGAATCAAAAAAAATATGATTTTCATCTCATATTGCGTTTTTAAATCGCAAACAATTACAAGTAATTTTTATTTGGTGACTTTTTGTATTTAAAAAAAAGTTTAGAAGTAATTAATTTTAGTTTGAATTTTTTGTTGGCATATTAACAACAATTTGTCTTTAAATATCCACTATAAATAAACCTACATTTTTAAAGTTTTTAGTCGCCATAATGGAAGATTTTAGTTCAAAATGTGCGTACATTATTATCCAAATAAAATAATTTAAGCAAAAGTGAAAAACCCCTATTTTCATTTTTAAATGGTTCTTTATTTATACCATGATCTAACTCATTACAGTCCACTGCGGTTTTTTGGGACTTTAATCACTAGCCCTTTTTGTCCACTATCTAGTCCTTTTACTGTAGGTCCCATGTCCCACTATTTCCACAGCGTGCATGAGCAGTCCTATATTGCACATGTGATGTCCTATGCAGCTTGTGTTGGACCTCATTCAAACCAAGAAAGGTAAAGTATAGAAGTAGGGTTTTCTCACAATCCTTCAGTAAAATCTTTATTGGAATTAAATCGTTCTTTTAGTTTAATACAACAATAGATTTTCAAAATCTTTTGGAAAATTTGATTACTCAGTAACTAAACTAACTTTTTCAAGTTCCCTTGAATGCATGCATGCATTTTTTCTGAACTATAAGATCATTCAGGAAAAATTTTGTTTGTTCTCAAAAATTTTGTTTGATCACAAAAATTTTTTTTGTTCACAAAAACAATGCGCATCTCTATAAAAAAAGGTTATAGGATTCTCCAACTTGAACTGAACTATTTATTTAATCATCAATGCTGCTGGAACTGTTGTGCATTTTATATAATCATCAAGCTTTTACTCTTTTGTACATAAAATTAAAGCAAGAGAGTCACACCAACAATATAATTTATATTTAAAAACCAGAAACATGAGCATTATTACTATTCAGTTTATATTCAATATAGGTTCTTTTATAGGTGCACTGCAGGAAGAGATGGTTGGTCTTCAAAATGAGTTGAAATTGCTTTGCTCTATTCCAAAATTAAACACATATTTGTATTGGAAATATAAAATAAAGATTATCTATCAATTACAGATTTTGCCAATACTCCAAGTTATTTATCACGAACAGAGAAACTAAGAAGGTCTTGTCAAAACCACAACCATGTTCTTTAACAGATCAAGATAAGAGAGAATGCCGAATGCATCTAAATTAAAATTTGAGTGACAAATGTATTATTTGTGAAAGCGCAGATAATTCATAAAATGTTAGGTCAATACCATATCTTGGTCTTAGCCCTAAGCACAAACAGCCTTATCAAAGTTGTTTGTAAGACGAGTTGTGATAAGGCAAATTGTGTGCAAAGCAAGTTGTTATCATGGTGACTCAGAACGGGGTGAGTTTGAAAAATGAGAGATGTTATAAGAAGGTTTGTTTTAAGACAAGTTTTGTGCATGGTGAAATGTTACTGAGCCACATGTAGGATACAAAATCTAACCTAAACCTGCTTGAGGACAGGTGTACCTGGGCATTTGGGAAATTTGAATGAGTAGCTTAACACAAACTTGAATTTTCTAATCCTTATATCTTTGAAAACTGATGTCAAAGACAATGCATATAAACTTTTAGATAATTAGTCTAGATACTTTTTGTATGTATTTTTAAAGAGGCATGTATTTCAACGGGATAAAATAAATCAAATGTTGATACATTTTTTACTCCAGAGCGGAAAACGTCAAAAGTATTATTTTGAAATTTTTCAAAACGACAGTTTTCAAAAAATGTCCAAAAATTTCAAAACGAGGTTTGAAAAAATATTTTCAACCTGTTTTTTGTATGAATGAACTGAAGACCATATTTTAATTATAAATGAAACATCAGAAAGTATTATTAGATTATTAAAAATGCAGTTCTCAGTTCTGCCTTCAAAGAATCATAATCGATAACTTTTTTCCAAATCAGTTAACAATCATTTTATTTTCATCTTCTAAAAAATTAAACAAGACATTCGTATATATATATTTGTTGGACTAAAGGCCTCTATGGAAGATCAAACGGGCGATTAACCGAATCAACCAGGGGGGAGTTAATCCCTGGGTGTCTAAGAATATCAAGAGGATTTCCCCGGTGAGGTCGCGGGGTCCAGGTTATCATGCCTGGGCGTCAAGTTAATCAAAATTCGATTTCCCCAGTCTCTCCACTGACGTGGTCGACAATAATCCAAACCAGGTTTATTTCCAACCCCCAAAAAATTTAATTTTTACAATGAAATACTTTTGTAAATCGTTGATATGAATAATAAAGGGCTTTAAAATATCTTACTAGAAGGCGAAAGTAGATTAAATAGGGGTTCTACTGAAAATAAATATCCGTTTGGTTACAAAATTTTGTTGTACACTACAAAATCACGAATTTTAGGCTTTTACTATTTTTGATTTTTACAATGTTCACTATAGCCGGCCAAACGGCTGGACCGAATGGGCTGACATTTTTAGAGAGAACCCATGGGCTAACAAATCGAAATTTTTTTTCTTTCAAAAATCTTATTTGTTTTGCAGAAATAATTTTTTTTTCTTACAAAATTCAATTTTAAAAAATTCCACGGCAACGCTGGGCCCTAGTATTGTATTATTATTCCCTGGGACAGCCGCTATTGTCTGTGTATTTAGTGCATTTACTTTCTAACTGTCCATGCAGGCACTATATCAGTGTTCTGCATATTGTTTTAAACTAGTTTTAAATTTACAGTACGTACTGAAGAATCAATCTAAGAAAGTCATCGGAAAAAAGTAAATGAAAAAAAAACCTTAAAATAAAAACTTTGGTAAAAAAGTCCCAATTGTGTGAAGTCTGGTGAAAATGAGATCAAATCTGAGACGTTTTTATAAGCAGGACTTTTTTTGTATCATCTGCATATTTAATATATCCAGGGTTGTTTATCCTTTGCCACTTTTTTGCATGGTTGTAAACATCCTTTGTTCCCATGCATTTTATACTATAAAAGGACTTTTTTCAGGGAACGTTCTTGTATAAAATCATACAGCAGCCAGAAAAAAAGTCCTAAAAACTAAAGTCTCAAAAAGGTAGGATTAATCATTTCAAAAAACTTTTATTTCAAGGACTTTTTTCCACAGGACTTTGTTAGTGACAAAATTTAGGACTTTATTTCCGAAAGTTTTTTTTCAGAGAACTTTTTTGGCGGCTACACGTATTGAAATGGCCACTATCATATCCTTGTGAATTTGTAATTTGTAGATTTTGAATCCTCCTCTGCAATAATTTGCTCCAGACTCCATATGACATTAACTACTCAAATAAATGTGATTAAATCAGCGTTGACTGCTCCTGTATCTGCGTGTATATATTAGCACTAGTTCAGAGTAAATGCATACCTCCGAGAAAATAGCTGTAGACCGTGCAAATGCATTTATAAATTGGAAATAGTGATAAGAGATTTCTGAAAGTCGTCTTACTCAAAAAACAGACTTGAAAACTCTCGAATAATACAGACTTCAAAGATGACAGTACGTAATTTATTATGTATATTTCCTTACATTTATTATTTACTGTAATTGTAAATTTTATTTTCCACGTAAATATTAAAAAAAAAAAAAACATTTTGAAAATACTATGTTCCAATCCAGCCAGAAGACCTTATTTAACCTTGCAATCGTTACCTTTATGTATTTGGGTCGTCTTTACAGTTTCATACTCTCTGTTTCCTTAAATTAAGGTGTCCCATGCAACTTAAAATTTTTCTTTTCAAATCATTATAAAATGCATTAAAAACTATATTCAATTTAATCTGGAAATCGTCATATTTATAGAGTTTTGTGTCGTTTTTACACAGTCTAATCGCCAGAAAAAAAACTTATAAAATAAGGAGAAAAAATTATTAATTTTTAGATAGAAACACGATATTACTTTCATCATTTAGCTGATACAAAAGGTAAAAAGATAATTTTGTGAATCAGGCATGCTTCTCAATTTTAAATTCGTCGCGTTGCAAAAGATTAAGATCATCGGAGTTCCGGCTTCTGCACCACATACCTCTCCCATCATCTGACGATCTTGATTTTGAACAGCCCTTGACCCAGAGAATCCAAATATACATAAAAATAAATGCCAATCTTACAAATTCACATTAAATGTATCCAGTAGTCCAATCTGATCCTGTTTTTTATAAGATTTACAAGTATCTATAAAATGTGGATCGAAGGTTTTTAAGATAGTGGTAGTGATTTATGTAAACAATTTTTGATCGTTCATAAATGAAAAATTGAAAATCATGAACGATTTTGAACGATTCCAAATAGTTTACTTATTTTTGAAAATGGTAATTTTTACATTTCTCCAAACGAACCATTTCGTTATTTCATCGTTTGTTAATTTCACCGTTCAGGGTCCATCGTTCACGGCCTATTGATAAAAAGTTCGTTAATAAAACAAATCATCAACTCTTAAATACCATGATGAAATAATAAATAAATGAATGAAAATATTAAAGGATTGGTATACTAATTAATGAAAATATTAAAGGATTGGTATACTAATGAATGAAAATATTAAAGGATTGGTATACTAATAAAAGAAAATATTAAAGGATTGGTATACTAATAAATAAAAATATTAAAGGATTGGTATACTAATGAATGAAAATATTAAAGGATTGGTATACTAATAAATGAAAATATTAAAGGATGGGTATACTAATGAATGAAAATATTAAAGGATTGGTATACTAATGGATGAAAATATTAAAGGATTGGTACACTAATTAATGAAAATATTAAAGGATTGGTATACTAATGAATGAAAATATTAAAAGATTGGTATACTAATGAATGAAAATATTTAAGGATTGGTTTACTAAAGGATGAAAAGATGAGAGAATGAATGAAAATATTTAAGGATTGGTTTACTAAAGGATGAAAAGATGAGAGAATGAATGAGTAAATAAACGAAAGGATAAAAAAAGATGAATAAATAAATGAATGAAAGAACAAATGAAGCAATATGTGCAAGGATGAATACCCGAATCAATGAATAAATGAAAGAATGAATGAAAGAATAAATGAGTAAATAAAAGGATGAATGAGTGAAAGGATGAATAAAAGGATAGGTGAATGAGAGAATAAATGGATAAATGAAAGAAAGGATGAATAAAGAAAGAATGTATCAATAAATGAAATAAAGGATGAATAAATTAAAGAAGAAATGAATAAATGAACGAAAGGATGAATAAATGAAAGAAGAAATGAATAAATGAAAGAAAGGATGATGAAATGAAATAATGAATTAATAAATGAAAGGATAAGTGAAAGAATAAATAAATAAATGAAAGAATAAATGCAAGAATTAATGAAATAAAGGATGAGTGAATTAAAGAAGAAATGAATAAATGAACGAAAGGATGAATAAATGAAAGAAGAAATGAATAAATGAAAGAAAGGATGAATAAATGAAATAATGAATTAATAAATGAAAGGATAAATGAAAGAATAAATAAATAAATGAAAGGATAAATACAAGAATGAATGAGAGAAAGTATGAATAATTGAAAGAAAGGATGAAAGGATGAAAGAATGAATGAATGAATGAATGAATAAATGAAAGTATATATTGTCTGTAACTTGACACTATGGCATTTGCTTCCCAAACTACTGAGTTGAAAATATTATTGCTTCGGTTCTTCCTTCTATACTCTCATCTTACCACCGACAGACGACATATTTAATAATTAATTCTAGTATTTAACATTTTATTCAACCCAGGAGAAATACACCCGTCCTTAGAATATCCAGTTTGTAAAGAGTTAATTATTTTAAAAAGTCTTTTTTAAATCATAAACTAAATTTCAATCTTATTTTCGATTATAGTTTCATTACTTTCACACATTAATTGTTCTTACCACTCAAACAGAAGACAAAAGGAAAAGGTTAAATTTATGAGAATTTACTGGCATGACTTTGGAAGCTCGCAGTTCTTTCGTTTTGATTTGAAGTCTATGGTAATATTTCATAAGTCTAATATCTTTGCAACCCGATGTCGAAGTTAGATTATTTGATCTAACATAATTCATAATTTTAAATATCTAATGTCATTGT